CTTTCGCTGTAGAAATTTTAGGTCTACGTTATGTAGTTTGACTATTGCCAATTAAATCGAATGCTTTGTATTGCATGCGCTCCACGTTTTTCATTTTCAATTTCATAGATTGTTTATAATGACTTTTGCTAAAATTTCAAAATCAAAAGTTATCAAAACAAGTTCTATGGGACTGAGAAATATTATTTTCTACTTTTTAGTCCATTTATAAAAGCGTTGTATATTAAAAAGTTTTTTTTATATTATTTATTTTTAATATAAATATACGTATTTTGTACATACATTTTTGCCACTGCTAATCACATGAATAAAAATCATAAAAAACATAACAGCAATATTTCTTGTTTATAATGGATTAGATCCATCGCACACCACGGACCTTATCGGCCGCCAATTTAGATGTGCTCGCTAGTCTTTCCATTGCACCACAACTTATTGGTCAGAGCGATTAAGCTGGTGTAATGTGCGCACCTCCATACATCTTCATGTACATATTTCAAGCGAGCCCTATCATTTAAATAGGCGGCCGATAAAGTCTGTGGTGTGCGGTGGCTCTTATAGCTGTGTCCTTACATCTATTCCGTGTGTTGCAATATCCACGAAAGCAGCAGTTAATTTTTTATGAAGAAAATTATTACAAAATTTTCGAAAATTTCTCTACTTATATGTTTGGCTCTTCTTTGTTTTATTTTTCCAACGTCAAAAGCTGGATTTTTTTTTTTGAAAAAGTTGGTACAACAAAAAATACGAAACACGTTTTCTGTCAGATAGCTAAGATGGCGGATAAGAAGAAGAAGTGAAACTACCTTCTAAAAATTATTGTATCATGCGGTACATGTTGACAGTGTTCAACACAATTTCACTGAATGTGAATTGGATGCGTTCAATGAATTATAAAAGAAATAGAAAATACCCTAACGGCGTGATTTGGCAGTGTTCAATGTGACACACTTTAAACTTAAAATGAAGAACAATTTAGGGTTATCGTGAGTTTCTTTTTCCACGAATCGGTTCACTTTTCATTTCCGTGTATTGACTACGGACGGATGAAAAAATTCCGGTCGAAACTCTCGATAAGGCTGATTATCTTAAAAAATAGTAGTAAAATCGGTCTTTGGGGAGTATGGGAGTACAGATTTCAGAATTGTAGTAAAATACTCCCATAGTAGTACTTTCGGCAGCACTGACCGCAGGTCTCAAGTTTTGTAAAAGATTGGTTGCGATTTCTTCCAAATCCGCTACATTCATATTTAAGTTTTTTCGAAGGATACTCAATGGAATTTCATCTTCAGAATCCTCTTGAATTTCAGCCATATTCAAAACATTGTTCCAGCATTTGGATAGCACAAGAGCATCCACTTTACTCCATGCAGATTCTAAAGTAATAATAGCTTCCTTAAGTGTGATTGCCTTCATACATTCTAGCAAATCACACCCCTTTGCAGCAACGGAAGCCAAAAGACTGTTTCTGTAATAAAGTTTCGTAATCCTAATTGCGTTTTGATCCATGGGTTGTATTAGGGGGGTTCTCATTTGGTGGCATAAACATTGTTAAAATAGAGCCGTCTTTACTTTTAAGTTCATTCTCAGGTGGATACGATGGAGCGTTATCAATTAAAACGATAGCTTCAACTGGAAGTCCTTTTTGTGTCAAAAATTTTGTAACCTATGTACATAATTGGATGAGTTGTAAGGTACTGATTTGCGAGAAATTAAAACTTACCTCAGGTATGAATGAGCGATGGAACCAATCTTTGAAGATAGCACCAGTCATCCAAGCGGACTTAGAATGTCGATAATGAACAGAGCAGTCAAAACCTTTAAAACAACGGGGTTTTCTAGAGTGTCCCACCACAAGAAGCTTGAGTTGATGAGATCCTGTCGCATTTGAACAGCACAAGAACGCTACCCTTTGCTTTTCCATCTTTGCACCTGGGGCCATTTTTTCTAATGATGAGACATACGTCTTTTGTGGCAAAAGTTTCCAAAATAAACCGGATTCGTCGGCGTTGCAAAGTTGTTCACGACTTAAACCAAGCTCTTCCATTTTCGTCTTTAGCGCTATTTTGAATGGATCAACCAACTGGTGCTGCGAAGATAGTTTTTCCCCAGAAATTTGGAGCAACCGAACGCCATATATCTTTTTGAAGCAGTCCATCACTGGCATTGAATTCAAGGCAATCTTCTTTCATTTTACAATGAAGTTCTTTCGGCTTTTCTTTCAACATCAGTCCGCTAACTGGGAGTTTTTTGTCTCTCATATGCAAAAACCATCGATATATCGATTTTCCATTTTTGAATACTCTGAAGGGCGCATAGTTTTCCTTTTTCCAGGACCGATAAATGTATTGTTGACACATTTAGAGATAGCATTTTCATTTTTTTCTTATTCCACATATTGTAGACTTTGTCACTCCATATTTAGTTGCTATGCACCTTTTCGTATGTATTCCAAAATATCTGATTTTTCTCTTAAAGTCAAAAACTTATGCTTTTTTGTGTGCATATTTAAAAATTATTAATATCTAATTATTTCTTAAGAAAATAAAGAAGCAATCGTGCTTGCGTGCAATAACCAACTAACAACATTAGAAATTCTTACTGACGACCGACGTAGGAGAAAGCAAAACGTTTATGTTAGCACATACCAGCATTTTCGAGCGATACATATAGACATTTTCAATGAACTAGGGGATTCCCCAAATTACAAAGCGATGGAAATTCTTTAGACATTTTTCAAAACAATAATGTTCATATTTTAGAGCTTTTGCCCCATGTTCATATTTTAGAGTTGCCAATGGTAGCGAAAAAGTGTTCATATTTTGGGATGTTCATATGTTAGGATGTTAATATTATCGCGAGTTCACTGTATATTAACTACCACATCCTCGAATTTCGGCTTTCTAACTTTATTAGTTTAAAAAAAAAAAAATTACACTTCTCTTTATAAGATACTAGCCGGCCTGGCGAACTTCGTCCCAATTGGTGGCAATTTCAAAATGGATGCGTATCCTTGTTCAACAGAAATACAATATACATACATAGACTGAGATGAAATACCTTAAAAGCCAGTTTAACGAAAACAAATTAAGTGAAAAATTATTTTTTTCTGTCAGGTTCTATATTAAATTCAAACAAAAAAATAAATCTTCATTAAATTGCTTTCATTAAACTGGCTTTTAAGGTATTTCGACTGGTAGTGGTTTGAGATTTACCACTGCACAAATCAACCCTGGTATGTCCGAATGAAGCTTTAACGCATAATAATATTGGCAAATCACATCCATTAGGCCAATCGTAATACACGTAGGGATGCAAATTTTGGGGAGTAACATCGATGTTTCGATGCATCGGAAAAATGAATATCAATCGCCAGAAAAACATCGATATATCGATGGTTTCCGATGTTTCGAAATTTGTTATGAAAATTTAATACTTTTCAATTCCAACTTTCTGTAATTCAATTATTGCCTTTATTTATTTACCATAACTTCTCAATAAATAGAATAGAAATGCCGTCGTAAGTTCGCTGGGCCTAAAGTTCCAAGGCCCAATTTCGTTGAAATTTCAACGGGATCCCGGTCCTTTTTTAATGACTAAGTATGCATTTTTAATATCGAAAGATAAGAGTAAACTCAGAATTTCTGAATGTTCTTTTTAAAAGAATAAATATTAAAATTCATGGTCAGTCAAAAAATTTTAGGAGCATAATTCGATGTTAAAACATCGCTGAAACTGGCATCGATATATCGTCTATTTATCGATTTTAGGAAATTGTAAACATCGATGGCAAACATTGAATTTCGAACCGATATTATCGATGTTTCAAAAATAACGATGCATCGTTTGCATCCCTAAATACATGAGAGTTCGATATACTCAATGGTGCAACAGGTCGATTTAGTCTGACATTCACGGCACCTTTTCTCACTTGACAAAAAAAAAATTGTAGATATCTACAAATGTACATTTAAAATTATAAAATTTTAATTTTAACAATCAACCTGCCAAAACTGGCAAATTCGGCCAATAAAATTTCAGCTTGCTGCGTTTTTTCTATTTTGCTATATTTAAAGGAAAATTATGGTACGAACGAAATAGGACATACGGCAACCATAGTCAGCACACACTAAAGCAAACAAACTGGAGATTAAAAGTAAATTAACTACAAATAAACTTAACAAATCTTGTGCTTAATAACTTTACTCTCTTTTGCGTTGCATACTAGCATTAATAATAAAATTTGCCATAAATAATTCAAAAAGGTCATATTTTCTTTTGTTTATTCACAAACATATGTTTGTGATCAGCTGATTTTCTTACTTGCAAGTGTTCGATAGGAAAAATTTTTCAAGCAGAAATTTGCAGCTCTCTACCACATTTTGCTCTCTCAATTTCCCCTAACTTGCAAGTTTGCAAGTGATTTAAAGAGACATTATATGGGACATCATGGGGAATTCTCCACAGGCAGTTTTGTAGGAGAATCGAAATGTATGGGTTGCTGAGCTAAAAAAGTGGCTTGTAGAACATGATGCCAAATAAATATAAGCGACGAAAATTTAATTATATATCGACAAATTAGTACAGAGCACGTTGAGAACGAATTAAAAGTATTTTTTAAACTTACTACCTAAAAATATCCATTAAAAAATTATATAAAACATACATGAAAACGAATAAAACTTAAAAATAAAATTATTAATGAAAGTCAATTAGATTTGAGAGCTGGTGTGGAGCTGGATGTTTAACAAAAGTTTGTGTTTATCATATAATTGGACATAAAATCACATTTTTACTGCTTTTTTTCTTAAATTGAGCTTTTTTTATTAAAAAAAAACTTTATTAGTAAGTTTTAGAATTTCTAGAGTGTACTGATTTCACCCATTTTCTTAAATTTAGCTTTTATTTTTATTTAAGAAAAAACTATATGCGTAAATGTTTGAATTTTTAGAGTGTACTCATACTTTTTACTACTGAAAAATGTTGCGTTTTCAATGTATTGGTGACGCGCTTCCATTTGAAATTTTTGGGCACCATTGATTTTTAAGCCATTTTTTAAATAATGGGTCAAAAGGCCCGTTCTGGTGGGAGTTTATGGGTTAAACTGATGGAAAAAAGCAGACTACTCTTGATTTCAATCTATAAACCGCAAAAAATCGTAAGAACTCCGTAATGTAACATAACGGTAGATAACATTATTATTCTTCTTCTTATTTGGCACTGTTACCACCTAAGCGATTTTGGGCGAGTTCAACAAAGTAGGCCAGTCGTTTCTTTTCTGACGCCAATTGGAAATCCCAAGTGAAGCCAAGTCCTTCTCCACCTGGTCTTTCCATCGCAGTGGGGGCCTCCCTCTTCCTCTGCTACCACCAGCGGGTTCCGAGTTGAATACTTTCAGAGCTGGAGCATCGGTATCCATTCGACCGACATGGCCAAGCCAGCGGAGCCGCTGTATTTTAGTTCGCTGTACTATGTGTTGTGTAACCGTGTGTTTGTTGCAAAGCGAAGTGGCAAGCAGGCATGCTAGCGTGCCCTGGCATAGCTCGTCGGTTGGGGGGGTTTGATTGTCTTCACCTGCTTCGCTACCAGTTACACCAACAAAAAAAGTTTGTATCATGCCTGTGTGAAAAGAAAGGGAGACCGAAAAACAAAGACGAGAAAAAAAAGGTGTCTGTCCAGTCAGGTTGAGTCTCCCACCCACTTCAACGCAGTCCTGCGTGAATCCTTGGGCACCGCTTTGACTCCTAACACCGAGCGATGCCCCCTTACCTGACTTTGGTTCGTCTGTCAGCAGTCAGTTATCCAACGTCCGTCATTTCACCTAGTCATCACTCCCACGTCCCCTCTGTTGCACAAGTGCAACACCCACACCAAAGACTTGTAGTTTAACCCCTCATTACTGCCATTACATCCGTCTCAATTCATCTTGTACACACAAAATTTTATTTAGTA